CTATTGATACGGCAATAGATAGTCTTCCTATTAACAAAAACCTGTACAGGTGGAGAAAAGGAATCTCTGATAAATGTAACCTGTGTAATTGTACTGGCACTCTGCATCATGTTCTTAATATTTGTGACAGAATGCTCGACCGAAATACCTGGCGGCACAACTAAATACTACGCATCATTCTCAAACACTTTAAAACACTTCAAACAATACCATCAAAGTATACGAAGACATAGAAGGAGAAAGCATCAACGGAGCCACCAAACATAATGGCCCGAATTCACAAAGGAGGTTTGTCGACAAGCCTAGGTTTATGTGCGTCATATGACGCGTTTCGACGCGTTATATAAAGCCAAGGTTTGTCTGAACCTCGGTTTGAAACCGTCAAAACGCGTCATATGACGCACATAAACCTAGGTTTGTCGACAAACCTCCGTTGTAAATTCGGGCCTGTACGTACCCTACACAAACCAGACATTTGCCACATTAACAACAAAAATATGGACATTTTCATCATTGAACTCACAGTCCCTTCGAAACCAACGTTGACAAGGCACATGAACGAAATCAAGATAGATATGCAAGCCTCACCGTATCCGGACACCTACCCCCTGGACATCCACCCTCTGATACCCACCCCAGTCATCTTCCCTCTAGGACAACTACCCCTCGGGCAGCCACTCTCTAGGACGACTACCCCCCCCCCCCGGACAACTACCCCCACCCCCCGAAACAACTACCCTAGGACAACTACCCCCTAGGACAACTACCCCCGGTCAACTACCCCCTAGGACAACTACCTCTAGGACAACTACATCCGGACAACTACCCCCTAGGATAATTGTCCGGTGGTAGTTGTCCTAATAGTTGTCCCCTTCGAAACAAACGTTGGCAAGGTACATAAATGAAAAAAAGACAGCTAGCCTCACCGTATCAAGACACCTACCCTCTGGACATCCACCCCCTCCCGAATACCCCCCCCCCCCCCCCCCGGGACAACCATCCCCAATCAACTACCCCCTGGGACAACTACCCCCCCCCCGGGACAACCATCCCCAATCAACTACCTCCTAGAACGACCCCCCCCCCCCCAGAACAAATACCCCGGGACAACTACCCCCCAGACAACTACCCCCAGACAACTACCCCTTAGGATAGTTGTCCGGGGGTAGTTGAATGACAAAATGATAGATTGCAATTACCTTTAATATTCGTGTTCCAGTTAATATACGTTCTGACGAAAGCGTTCCTCAGTTACATTTGGGACAACTACCCCCCCCCCCCCGGGACAACCATCCCCAATCAACTACCTCCTAGAACGACCCCCCCCCCCCCCAGAAAAAATACCCCGGGACAATTACCCCCCAGACAACTACCCCCAGACAACTACCCCTTAGGATAGTTGTCCGGGGGTAGTTGAATGACAAAATGATAGATTGCAATTACCTTTAATATTCGTGTTCCAGTTAATATACGTTCTGACGAAAGCGTTCCTCAGTTACATTTCAACCCACGCTCTTTCCCCTGCATGAAATTTTCCCTCAAGATTATAGCCATTGACAGGAATTTAGGAAGACGATTTACCATCGGCTGTCAAAATGGTGTAACATAACTTACAAAAGAAGCGATTAACTATTTCTGGCGTTCTGACTGGCCATATAATAGTGCTTGTTGTTGTGGTTTTAAAACCATTTTAAGGTTCAAATTGCCTTTGTAGATTTGAGAATTGATTTCAAAGACAGGGAATTAGAACCTCCGAGAACTAGCCCCCTAAATTACCATTGCAAGTTTGTTCGATCAGGAAATATGAACACTGCCTTAAAAACGACGACGATTTTGTTCCTCTAAAAAAATATATAATTTTTGTTTTTGACAGGCATGAAAGAGAGAAATAGGTTAATGTAATAAACCTTGCCATTTGCTCATATATTCAGGCAAGACCAATTTATTAACCCATTGTAACTGGAACCGGGTGCTCCCTGTATTAAGCCTATGGGAATTAGAGAATTCAGTAGTCAACGAGTTAACTACCACTTAATCGTCTTTGTTCTGTAATATATGTTATATTACTCCTTGGTACTGATGCCGTGGTGTTACCATGGATCTCTAGACACCAGGACTTAAAATTTGAGAGCCATTCTTCTTCATTAACTATTAAGGTACGTTGGTTGAAAGGAGCTTTTAAGCACGTGCGGTTGATACCTTGAGAGGAATAAACACTAATTCTCGACCAAACTACTCAAAGGAACGCCAACGTTCAATCAAATAGGCTTTGCCATCTCTTTCTTGATATGCATATACAGTGACAAAGGCAGTGTTGTTTCATTTTCATCGCTGTATCGGCTATTGCGAATATTTTGTCAACATGGGATTACAGAGGAATATTCAATACACAGGATTGAAGAGATTAGCCATTGTATCGTTCTCATTAGTCACTATCACTGGTGTTGTCATGGCAACAGGTAAATATATCAGACACGCTTTTAATAATAATCATGACATACCTAAATTTAACCTTATCAACACTCTTTTAGCTTTCCAGAAATGTATCAACTGCTGTTATTACAAATTTCCCCAAAATTATATACATGTATTTGATCAAAATTTTATTTTATTTTATTGTCTTGATCCACTTTCTGTAGATTTCAACATCAGCTTGGTTGACGGGACAGGTGAATTTGAAGGTCGTGTTGAGGTCTTCTACAATAACATGTCCGGATCTGTATGTGGAAACGATGACTGGGATACTCAGAGTGCCAACGTGGTTTGTAAAGCCCTCGGCTACAGTCAAGCCTATGTTGTCTCCTATGGAAGACTGTTCGGGACGACGGGCGAAGTAGTTCATTTCAAGAGTCTTGGATGTAAGGGAAGCGAAACAAGCATCGCTTCATGCCCTTTTGAGGTTGACGATGGGAGCTGTCGCGCCGAGGGGCATGGTGACGCTGGTGTAGTGTGTAAATACGGTACGTCGCACAATACTCCTGAGACCGACCCCTGCGTTTCCCGATTTTCAGAAGGAGAAAATAGGAAAGAGAGCTAGGGTCATATTTTAGAAGTGTACTATAGAACAGAAGCATCAACATTAATTGAAACATCGTACTACAAATTTCTTTTTCTTTTTTGTTGCAACATCACGATGAATAAAGCCTACAGGGAGTGGTGTGTAAAAATGATGATCGCAGTCTTAAACCCATTAGTAGATGGCATTGTCGGGAAATCGCAATTGTTTGTTTTTCTGATAAAAACTGGGTGTTGTTCGTTTAAAAAAGCATAATGCATAATCCACAAAAATGAAACGATATCAATAGCTGTTTGCCGAGGGGTCAGGTATCTGCCGTCGCTGTACATGTCGGATCTGACCGAACCCGATTCGAAAACGACTCGGGTCTTTTAGGCAGAGATTGAAATCTTGGGAAATAGGTCTGATTAATATCTACGCAGACACACACACACACTAACACACACGCACAAGTACACATACACATCCCCACAATTCGTTTTAAATTGGTTAACGTTTAAAGGACTCCCGCTCATTCCTTTTCCTCATAACTGCCGTTTAAACCTAGATGCATAATATAAAGCAAAGAAAAATTAAAATCATCTTCGGTTGATCTTTTCACTTTCCATCAGGTATTTGCACAGGCAGTTGTGTGTTGTATAGTTGTCCTTTAGACCTTTAGAACATAACTACCATCGTGTCCTATGCGCGTTGAACACGAGGCGTCTTTGTCCTAACGTAAGACTGTGCCAGCTAGTGGTTCGGCCTTAGATGTGCTAAGGTATATTGGGATCGCAGAAAATGCAAATGCAAAATGCAAACATTGAGCTATATTACTGGTGTTTTTAGTAATTGCCTGTTACAGGCTTGGTTATCGTAGATAATAACATTGCATTAGGAAATGACGCCTTGCGTGTGTGCAACATGCATCGAACGCAACTATTTTGATACAAGTTCCAAACTTTGACTAGATTGTTACACATTTCATAATAATTTACAGATACGCCGACTTCTGTGAACCTCACCAGAGGGGCCGCTCCAAATGAAGGTCTTGTTGAGGTCAAAGTTCGTGGGATATGGGGCGCCATCTGCGGGGGCTCACAGTGGAATTTCAATGATGGAGATGTCATCTGTAAGGCCGCTGGCTACAATCGAGGAGATATACTATTTCGTGTTAACCTCTTTGGAGAGTCCGAGGCTCCCATATCATTTGATATGATAACTTGTCCCGGATCAGCACGTTCACTTGATTCGTGTACCCTGTTAGGCATCAGAACTAGCTGCTCAGGAGATGTATACGCTGGAGTTGCCTGCGATGCATGTAAGCAAGAATCGTCCCCGTTTCATGTGTGCCGCTCGTAAACCAACTTGGCCCGTTCGATTTTAGGCTGCCGAACCATCCCAAATTACCCTTCAACTAGGAAATGGGTTTATTTTCCATATCATGTAACACGAAAGATTGATTGCTTAATACAGATTATTGGTATATAGATGTCATATTCCCCCTCCAACCAGATTCTTAATTATGGAACGGTAATTCAAATTCAAGTTTATTTGTCTTTCTTCCAACATGATTGTAATACAATTTTTAAAAATGTAAAACATGGAACAGAGTGCATAAAAGGATCAGTTATAAGAAACAAGTCCATATATTGCATGTTAGTAAAAAAAAAATAGAAAGACGAGGAGCCACACTGTCCTACGTGTAGCTACTTGCTCCCTCTATATAGAAAACAATGCCTAATCGGTGACCATTGGTCCCCATGATCCTCTTTTTCTTATGTTAATTGAGAGCTGAGTTGATGAGATAACCACCTATTCAGTGACTTTGCAGGGCGGTTTAATCCCTCCTATAAACTAATACAGATCAGCTTTAATAAAAGCTAAGCTTGTAAAGTCAGATCCCTTAAAGCAATATAATTTTTTTAGACAGCCTGGTTATATAATATTCCCACATTTCTGTTCCGTATTTTTCTCTCTATATCACTATAAGGCCTACAATCATGTGGGTATTTCATATCGCATGAACCATAGTCTTATTAATCTTCTCAGATCAGGATAATATGCTTCGGCTTTCAAATGGCACTGGACCACATGAAGGTCGTGTTGAGTTCTTCTACAATGGAATGTGGAATGGTTTGTGTGGAAAGAAAACGGATGCCTCTGCAGGAAACGTTCTTTGCCGCAGTCTTGGATATGACCGTGCATTCGCTGTTCTACAACACGGTGGATTCGGCGATGATACAGAGGCCTTCTTTGATGGAATCAGCTGTCCAGCATCTCAAAGTTCATACCAGAAGTGCCGTCTCTTTAAGTACCGCAGTAATTATTGTTCCAAGGATTTCGGCCATTTATCAATTAGCTGTGACATTCGTAAGTTAATTCCTCAATTTCTAGCAAATTTATAGTTATACATTTAAAGACAATTATAAATCTTAACTTGACAGTCTTGGCGCTCTCATAGATGCCAAGAAGAGCAATCGCGGATCTATGAAAGGGGAATTGGTTTCAGTAAAAGTTGTTGACTGAAAAAAACTCGTTATGTAAATTTTAAGCAAAATCGGGATAAGCATAAAAAAGCCGATATTCTTCGAATGTTGAGACAATTAATAATGATTTCTAGAATGTGTTGTATATATATATATATTGGTGTCCCGTACAAAAATACTCTTCCATCTTTAGAATTGAAAAGGGAGCATATTTCAAATCTTTCTAATTTTGCGTGTGTGCCTACACACCAAAATGGAATGGTTCTTTAAGTTTGACATCACAAATATTAATGAAAAGATTACCAAATGATTTTTTTTCTTTCTCCATCAAACAATTAATTTCAATTTTAAGACAAAGGCATTTAATTCTCCAAAAAAGGTTATTTCGGACACTTTTATTCATACTGTACGTGAAAGTGTTCGAATTTTCTCTCACTTCCATTCCAGCGAGCGTAAGTTGATTCCTGTTTAATGATCAATAAGTCGCATTTCACGCTTCTCATGTTGTTGTAATGTAATGATCTTCTACTCACATGCCTCAGATGAAAATATCGATGTCCGTCTTACCGGAGGTAGTGGGGATCACGAAGGTCGTGTAGAGGTGTTCTTCGACCAAGCTTGGGGCAAGATCTGCGCTAATGACCTCTGGACATTGGATATCGCTGACGTCGTGTGTAGAGACAAAGGCCATGATCGAGCTTTCATTATCTACTACGACGATACATATGGCCAAGGTGACCTCATATCGGTGCAATTTGATGAGGTGGACTGCACCGGCGCAGAAACCAATCTGACGTCATGCACAGCTTATAGATACCAGAAAAGTTTTTGTGAAGATGGCGCTTTCGAAGCAGCAAGTGTTACATGCACTTCAAGTGAGCTATTCATTACATTTTACTACTCATTCATTAGTTATGATTGTGATTAAGTTATAATAAAACATCGATAATTTTCTGTTTCGTTTTTTCTGAGACGCACTGTATAATAATTTAGTAATAGGTATACCCACCATGCAACAACTAATTGTTTCCACCTGTGCACAATCTTCATTCAAATTCGTATGCTTTGGGATTACTTAATTTAACAGTTCGGCTATAACCAGGGTAAACGCCATATATTAGCGTCACAACGTAACGGATATAAGCGCTATATAAGAAGCCATGCATTATTATTACTCTAATTCATTTTGTATAAATGTTTCCACATTCAGAATCGGCGCCTCAAGTCGACATCAGGCTAGCAGATGGCAGCGGAGCCCATGAAGGGCAAGTCGAGTTCTTCGTCAATGGCGATTGGCGCAAAACCTGTGGTGAAGAATGGACATTAGAGGAAGCAGACGTATTCTGTCGTTCACTTGGATATGTTAGAGCCTTCGCTCTTCTGCAGGACGGCAGTGCGTTTGTCAGCAGTGGAAATACATCACTCTTCTTTGACGATCTACAATGTACTGGATTTGAAGATAATGTTACCGAATGCCGAATGTTTCGATATAAGGAAAGGACCTGCGATTCTACGTACGGTGCCACATCAATATCATGTGAAACAGGTTCGAAGCCATGTTAAAGATTGTATTCAATGTTAGCATTCAATATTCTTTTTGTGAAACCAATCTTATGTTCCGTTGGACGTTTTGCCTACGACGCTTTATTTTCCAAGGCTATATGTAATGTGCAAAGTTCATTTCAAAGCGTAGCGCAAGACCAGAATAGAAAGCCTAGAGCTTAAGTGTATCGACGAAAAAAAATTGTTTGTAAATCTTCACATTCATTTAGATTTAGTAGAGGCCGCCTACGATTGAGGGTAATGAAGAAAAGTGTTGAATAAGCAACATATCGTAATAGACGTTAAAATGTCCATCGAATGCCTATCCGTTATTCAAACCACGAAAACATAATTGCTCCGGGTTGGATTTTCGCACAAATACTTTATGTATTTTTTATTGCCTACTTACAGGCTCCTTAATACCAATGGTTAGGATTCAGATACCCTTATATACAGTTGTCAGGAAAATAGTATGCACTTTTGAAACTTCCTCGTATGTGATGGACCATTTGTGTGGGGGAAATTCCTCATGATTGACGGCTCAAGAAGGGGTTAGGTGATTATGTCAAAAACCCTTTGCATCAACTGATGATGCCCCCTTATTTTGTAGAAATGGGAAAAGGCGTGGTTTTGAACATGATTGTACCCGCTTCTTCTATGCAGACTTGCAAATCTATCTCCGTCTCGTCGGAGGGCGAGATTCCTACGAAGGTCGCGTCGAAATCTTCTACGATGGATCATGGGGGTCGATTTGTGCCGAAAAGCCTTGGAGTATTGCCACTGCTACTGTTGTGTGCCGCATGGTTGGATTCGACGCCGAAGACCTTGTCGCTTTTTACGATGACAATCGCTTCGGTGACCTGGCCGAAGAGGTTCGCTTCGACGAGCTTGACTGCGACAATGTAGAGAGTATCATTTCTATCAAGTCATGTCGCCTACTTAAGTACGGAACTGGTTACTGTGACAGTGGATACGCCAGCGTTCAGTGTGACCAACGTAAGTATTAAGAGCCTAAATGATTGGGGGAGTGGTGTTCATTCATGTAAAGCTATGGCAGCCAAGGTATATCATGAAGTACTCTTAGCAACAGGATTGACAAATAAAGAGACAAACATTAGCGACGTTTATAAAGACATATTACGTTGCAAGGGTATTGAAATGATACTGGAATAGGACTAAAGTTCACGATGAAATGTAAGACAGTTACTTCCGTACGGTTATATTCATAACGTGCTGAGATAGACAACATGTATTATTATCTGAGCAACTCGAGTCACTTATAACTGCTGTTTTCATTATTAATAATATTTCAGCTCTAATAACTTCAACTGATGAGGGAACAAGGACTTCTCGCATGTCCATGTCCTCGGCCTACCAGGGAACTACGACGACACACGCCGCTACTAATGAAGCAGTGTCTACAATTTCCACCGTCCCAGAAACCACACCAACAGTTTTCATGACTGATGAAGCGTCCACTGCAAACGAAGATGAAGACCAAACAACACATATAAGTACGACTATCACTTATGAAGCAGTGTCTACAATTTCCACCACCCCAGAAACCACACCAACAGTTTTCATGACTGATGAAGCGTCCACTGCAAACGTAGATGAAGACCAAACAACACGAAGAAGCACGACTATCACTTATGAAGCAGTGTCTACAATTTCCACCACCCCAGAAACCACACCAACAGTTTTCATGACTGATGAAGCGTCCACTGCAAACGTAGATGAAGACCAAACAACACGAAGAAGCACGACTATCACTTATGAAGCAGTGTCTACAATTTTCACCACCCCAGAAACCACACCAACAGTTTTCATGACTGATGAAGCGTCCACTGCAATCGTAGATGAATACCAAACCACTCGAAGAAGCGCGACTATAACTACAGCCAATACAGCAACAACTGATCAAGAAAGCCAGTCGACGCTGGAGCCTGGGAACACGGATGCTTTCACCTCGGTGCTCCCTAGTGCCCCGGCTGCTCTCGATTTCACCACAGCCTTAACAACAACAACTCACGTGGAGACCAACACTCCAACAAACTCACCTATCAGTGAACCAACCAGTGGTGTGCCAACCCTATTGCTAACAACGCTTGTCACCACAGAACAGCAAAATTACGCGACTGATTCCCACGACGTCATCACAACTACCAAAATGGAAGGGTCATCGGTCAATCCAAGTACACCGAATAAGGAGTCTCTGTCCACCATCGAAACTGAGACAACCCCGGTCAGTACCACCGAATCGCTTACAACCATCTCTCATGAAGCAGTGACATTACAAAGTAAGCAGTATATAGCAACAACAAAAATCCACAGCAACAATACCAATGACTGCGTTCACGGGGGGGGGGTGGAAGGTTACTGGCAGATGGCATAAATTTTGTGATTACCACAAGCCATTACCAACGTTTTTTCGTTGTTCAGGAGGGGCTAATATAAACAAAAAAATTGCTAACAGTTTCATGCTCCTGCAAGTTGAGAGAGGGGTAATCATTCTTGTGATAATTAGCATTAAGATTTGAAAGATCTATTTCAAATCTATGATAATGATAAAAATATTGGGATCTTGTATCGCACTCGTATCTATCAGACTTATCACTCCTGGTGCTTCCGATTTTTACCTTGGCTGCCATTATGGCGCTCTAGCACTTCAGGGAATTAATTCCTGCCAGGTACCCTTTTACATCACCTGGGTTGAGTGTGGCAAATGTAGATCAATGTCTTGCCAAAGGACATAAGTGCCGTGGTGGGGCTCGAACCTTGTGATCCACAATCCGGTGACGTATCCACTCGACCTCTACAATTTACATGAATATTACCTAAAGGATAGAAAAGTTTGGTAGCTTTGTATATGAAAACTATTTTTTAATTTGTCGATAATTTCATTTCGTGACAAAAATGAAAAGAGTGTGTTCAGTACAATGATACCTTATGCTAACCAACAATATTTCGATCGCGTTAATAAGTATTACTTACTTTAATCAAAATTGTGAAGGCAGTTAATGCATGCCCCAGGAATTTAGAGTAATGTTCATATAGTTCAGTGTGATATTTTTGTACGTAATGGGTATCCAATTTACAGCGAGTCCGCAAACTACACCGGAAACTACACCAAACACCAGCAATGCAACGTTACTTTACACCTCTCCTGTGTCCACTACTACGGGGGCATCATTGACCACCGAAGTGCTTGAGGTAGAGACCATAATGATGACGATTTCTACGACATCTACTGATACGACTGATGATTCACTGACGTTGACATCGAGTTCTATGGAAAATGAGACCGATCTTTACTTCGCCGAGACTACGACACCTGGCATCAAAGGCGATAGATTAACCACCATAGCACGAGTAGGCATTGATTCATTTATTATCTACTGCCACCTTTTTATATACAGGGTTATCGTAAAAACTACCATTTTATATAGTTATATAGAATATGAATTTAAACAAGAAATCTAAAATGAAAGAAAAAGACTTTGTAGTGCAGTCTTGACGGTAGTTATTTGGTTTAACCTTAATCATCATCATCATCATAATCATCATTTATTAAAGTCAAAATTTTCCGTCTTACGAGGAGTTACTTACTTTTACTGACACTCCCTATTTCTACTTCCTCGTGTCTCGAGCATCCTGTTCATTTAAACCCACCTTATTGCTTTCTTTGACATTTTTCGTTTTCTTCGTACGTGGTAATAAAAATAGTAATAATAATAATAATAAAGAAAATGATAATTACAGTAATAATGAAATTGATAATAACAATATATTTATATAGCGTTTGGTACTTGTGTGTTTGAGAGCTGTACTATTTAAATGTTCGGATTAATTAGGTTGAGATAATTGTAAGTTCAGAACTCCCACTCCATGGTACGGATGCAGTATCACGTTGAGGGCCATGTTACGAAACATAATTCACTTTCAAAGTTTCATCGAATTGAACTGGGTTTATCTACTTTAATCGATTTATCTTGAAGAAATAAATGTGCTATAACATATCATGATCCTTATTACATCTCTTTATTTCTCTTGCCAAGCAAAATTTTAGTAAAGCTCGTGCGGAGATTTTGGTGAACGAAGCTTCAAACATCACCTGGAATATACAGCTGGACCGGAATTCCGTCTTATCTGCAACTACAATACTTGAGAAAGCAGAGTCACTACATTCTAAGTCATCTATGGTATGTTGATTCCCAACATTAAGCAAATTTTCAAATGTAGCTCCCATGAAAAGAGCTGTTTCCATCAATTCTGAGTAATAACGAATGTTGTCGGCATCAACTGTCTCCAAATCCCGACTCACGAAGTTGAAATTATGATAATAATATAAGCTCCTTTCCTCCTAGAAGCCAGAGTACAGTCATTGGCAGTAGAATATAGACCTCAAGATTTATAATCAAAATAAAATTAACAAGATTGCAAAGACTTTCTAAAAAAAAACTCAAGAGCAATTTCACTACCCCAGTGGACATCCCATAGAAATCATGTTCGTAATAAGTCATTGCAATTTTGATCAACTTTTCAATAGGTAATGTCAAGGACAAAGCAATCGAGATTGCCCAAGTTTGATTTTTCGAAAGTTTGCACAGATTATTCTTTTGTTTCCTTTCACATTGGAGCATCTGACCACACCTAGGTGGATGGTGAAGACTGGAAGTCTTGGTGAAGGGTCAGAAGGGTAATGAATCGTCCAATCCCAAAGCGTGGGGAAACGGACGCTAAACGATGATGACGATGATGATGATTTTGTTTCTTCACAATCTATAAATGTGAATACTGTTTTTTGCTGTTGGCATAGATGACTGTTGACATGATAACCATCGTAGGCAACTTGATGGAGTGCGATCCCCAGGTACTACGAGACACTCAGACCAGTAACCGTGCTGTTTCCCGGGCGCTACGGGCTCTCGAAAACCAACTGAATCACGTTGACATCTCGATGGATGCACCCTTCAAATCTTCGCATCCCAACATTGGTGTTCAGGTAAGTATAATCCCCTGGGGGCGTTTCATGAAACAATTAGTCGGTGGTTTTCACCGACTAATATCATGTTCACCGACAATTCTTTTGTCCCCGACTATCTTCCAGGACTCTGATTGGTCAAATTTAGTCAGCGCTGACTAAATTGTCGGTGATCATGATATGAGTCGGTGAAAACCACCGACTGATTGTTTCATGAAACGCCCCCAGGTTTCATCCCTTCTTCTTATTGGTCACTTTTGTGTATCTATAAAAGCCAATATTAAGCGTGCTGTCGTTTGAGTAGATACTTTGATGGTTATTGACCAGCGGCCAGATTAAAACAGTTTTTCTGAGATTTATCTTCCAAAGCCCGGATGTTGCTCCTGCTGTTGGGTACACCCCCAACTATTCAGTTATGCTTTTATTGTAATTAGCAGAGATCGTACATACTAAGATTTTGTTAAGATTATTTGTGTATGTGTCCTTTGTGCTCCTGCTGCGAATGCTTTCTCTGACTATAAATCAGGCTTCCCTTTCAAGCATTTAACGTGTATGTACTAAGCCATTCATTCATAATCAGTAGTGATCTGTCAGTTTATGACAGGTTCAGTGACCCAATCAAAATTCTATATCAAGTGTCTCTCCAAGTTCCTCGGTCTTGAGCCATCTGTTTCATAGTTCATACCCTGTTGCTCCACATTATGGGATTTCATCGTCTAGAAAGCCTTTACGAGGTCTTCCCCTCTTCTTCTTTCCATGAATACTACTTTCTATGACTCTAAGCATCAAGCCCTCATCATGCCGCATTAAGTGTCCAAGCCATTTCTTCTGTCTATCTCTAATCGTTTGAATCAGCACAACTTTTCTTGAGCTCGATGCAACACCTCTTCATTCGAAACTCTATCCTTCCAAGACACACCTAGTAATTTGCGCCAGCACCACATTTCGACCGCCTCCAATCGCTGCATGTCCTTTTTGGCGAGTGTCCACGTCTCTGCTCCAAACAACAGTAACACTCCATACTAGAGACTTCACAAGACGCTTCCTCAAACTAAGGTCAATGTTCATTGTCCATCATAAAATTTGAGAAAGGTACAATTCTACACCTTTGTTTTCTAATATCCTCAAAATAAAAGGTGGAAAAGGTGTCCATTGAAGAATTACAGAACGGTGTGACCTTTACAGTCAATCATTCAGACGCCTATGGAACCATCTCAAATGAGGTTTTCACGACATGGAAGGAGGGCCACAACGACAGCCATATTACAACATTCAACTCGTCGTGGCTCCAGGGGTCTTTAAGTCTGCACTGCCGATTCCGAGAATACGCGAATTTAACTTCAGAGAGAGAGATCCGCGTGGCATTCTCTGTCTATCGTTTGCCGAAGCTTTTCGTGGGTCATGGAAGGCGGAGAAGAGGAGGAGGAGAAGGAGGAGAGAGAGAAGGAAGAGGTCGACAAGGCGAACAAAAGGCAGGAGGATATAGACAAGAGGCGAACACGCTAGTGATGTCAGCTACACTTGATCCCTCTGTGATCCATTTACTGGAAGTCGATGTAACCGGCACGTTCACACCTATTAAGGTAATTAACATGAACCTGATAAGCGATGTACGCCCCGAATAGTTTATATGAACATAGTGAAATGCCTGTGTAAAGATAAGGAAAAGATGGTACAGCAAAGATAAAGCGCAATTTCTATTCAAATTTAGTCCAGGTATCTCGTATACATTTTTGGGGTCAGACATTTTATGTTAATGGTATTTTAGGAAGGGAATACTATCCTGTTTGAAAGTTCCATTTTATTCAAGGAAAGTACCCTTGCCGTCGTATTAACATCTTCCAGAGAATCCTGCACAAAGATTAACCTACATATACGATATCCATATTCTCATTCTACAGTGTCAGGGATCACGCAGGTAAGATATGGGATCAATTGAACAGTTTCTAGTGGACATTCAATCGGTCCATACATCAGGGGCATCGTCCTTCAATGCGGTCAACTTAGCTTTTATCACACATACACACACACAAACCCTTGAAGATGAACCTTACATTTATATTTTTTCTATTTTATTTTATTCCAGACAAGCACTGACATATTACGAGTTGGGCAACCGGTGTGTGTCTATTGGGATGACGAAGCCGATGATGCTTTCGGAGCTTGGGAAACATCCGGATGTACCATTGCTGATGACAGGAGTGTCTCTAGACCAGTCTGCCATTGTGACCATCTCACAAACTTTGCTGTTCTAATGGTGAGCTTTGAAGTTTCCATTCCTAGTTTGATAGTAATATTTATCAAGTTTATCTCTTTCATCAACATAACCAAGGAAACATAAAATATATATGTCTAATGTGTTTGTACACAAGATTTAAAAGTACAATACATAATTATCAATTCCTAGAACAAGTTGGACTTACCTGAATAACTTGATGTTAATCAATGAACTAGGCTAATTCAATAAGAGGAAATGACTGGGCATATATATATATATACACACAAACTTTTTCGACCAAGAAAATGCATTTATGTATTTTGCGCAAAATGAAGTTTTGAAAGATTGATTTTGATTGGTAGAGAAAGAGTAAGAGATCAACGAAAATACAGACCAGGGGATGTTTCACAAAACTTGTCATCAGTGAAAAATGACAGTTTTTGTTATAAGCTAGTAGTGAAATCCTTGCTTCCGATGAGTTATCAACAGATAAGTTACTGATTTTTCTCATTTGTCATTGAAAAAGACCTTGTGAAACGGATCCCTGTTGTTTAATTTATCAATACCACACAGAATGTCGATGACATTCCCCTTTCACCGCCAGCACAATCTTCAACCCGAGATGCTTCACTCTACATAGGGTTCCTCATTTCTATTGCGAGCATTATCTTCATACTAGTTATTTATCTGCTCTCTCCGTAAGTATATAAACCAATTTAATAGTTGCAATTTCACTATATATTTTTAATTATTGGGGTAGGGTGTTGTCTTTGTTGTGAGTGTAGATTACCTGGTTTTTACAAAGTGTCTGTAAATTGAATAAAGGAAGTTGTTGATAAGCGTCTAAAAGGAATATAGATTGACATTTTGTCATTATTTAATGGTTTTGTATCTTTGGTAACCTTAAGTCCTCACTGGCTATTGTGAGTTTGAAATTTAGATTCTAGTTCTGTTTGAGGGATTTCTAAACGAGTATTCGATCCTGTGCAAATACACATTAGATTAAACCATGGACAGTATTCAACTACATACATAGGCATTTCAGGCCTAAATTATTACTTTTTCCAGACAATTAAAAGGACTTTTTGTTATCTAGTATTTAGGCCTATACATAAGCAATACCTTGATACTCGACAGATAATATAAATATAGATATATATACTTTAATAGTACGTTCATTGAAAGGAAACGGATATGCATACGTAAGAATTTTCATGTGATTAAGAGACAGAAAATGTGTAAATAAGGTACTTCTTGTCATATCTCTCTATTATAATCAATATATTACCATGCTGATATAGTTTATCCTATATTTATTTGTTTCTTTTATTGAAATTCTGTTTTTATATGTTTCAAAGGAAAATCAGGCAGACTCTCCGCGGCAAGATTGTCGTAGGAGAGTTCATTTTCTTGCTTTGCTTTCACATCGTGTTCCTGTGCGTCTTATACACCGACACTTGGACAAGTGACCCGGAAGTGAAAGAGAAAGTGTGCTCTGCCCAGATGATTGTAATTCACTACACCGCCATGGCATCTGCTAGCTTGATGAGCATGCACGGCATCAGTTTGTACCTAGCCTTTGTCAAAAATTTAAACATGGATTCTCGATCGTACCAATGCAAGGCTGCGTTACTAGCATTAGGTAAATACCCTATGATGTTGTCATGTCTGCGGTATGAAGTAACATCATACAAAGTTGTGTGTGTCCATTGTAGAGCGATCCCATGCTTTCAATCACGTGTCAATAAATTATTTTTTCTAGTACTTTTTATTTCGTGACTAAAGATCGATAAGATATTCTC